CCTCGATCCGCACTTCTGCCAAGCCCGCATGAAAGTGCAGACTCCGAGGAAGACCGTGAGGGTTTAGGGTGCCATTTGGGACAGGGCCAACGTTTTCAGCCAAAATCAGGAAACTTTTTAGGTATTTTACCTGTTCGTTTACACAACAACGGTGTTTCTTGGACCGAAAACGGGTTTCAAAGTGCAAGTTTTTGAAAACCCCACCGTTGTCGTTTCCGTGTAAACACCCAAAACGGGAATCTTTGAAAACGGTGACACACACAAACCCCCCCCCCTTTAATCCATGACTATGTATCTTTTTTTTTCTTTCTTGAAATAAAAAAGCACAGCTCTTTATTTGACAATTGCAGCTCCAAATACTATACAAAAATACTATAAACTAAAAAATAAATGTATAACTAAGGCAGTTGTTATTTAAGGCATTTCTCTTTCAGATCAGTTCAAAAGACCAAAAAACAGCACCTTGTTCAAATGATCATTGCATGTTTTTCACAATGTATAGGAATATTTTCTTCTGTATTATGACACATCTGAGTGAAAAAGATTTTTGAAAAATGAAAGAAATGTAGGGCAGGACTTATTGTTTCTGTTAAAGAATTATTCACAATAAGATCAATAACATGGATTTAGAGAATAGATTTTAACCAAATCTATTTTCACCGAAAAAGATGAAAGTATTTATTTTTCGATAACCCTTTTTCTTTAAGACACTGACATTTTTTTAATTATGTAGTTAATGAAATAATTGAAATCAAATGAGAAAAAGAAGTGTTCTTACTCAAGATGCATGAATTGTGAGCAATAGTAATGCATCATTACTATGGGACTCGCTATATGCTCCATTAAACATATAAACAAGTGTATGTATACAAGTGAAAGACCGATGAAAACATCTATATTGGCTGCTCTGCTGAAGGTAAGTAGCAGTAAAGCATTACATTATTTCCTTTTTGGTGAAAACACAAGCTTGTCAGTGTAAAATTATTTATGCAAATGAGTTACACTGACTGACATTACAGTGTGCATGCCTAATATAAAGGGTGAAGTGTGCGTGACTGTCAAGCATTGAGTCGTTGATTGTTAGGTAATGTCGCTCTAACTACACTCTGGTCTTTAGAGGATGACTGACATGCACAGCATCAAACTCCATGTTGCATCCTGCATCGTCAGCACAGGGACAGCTGTTCACAGGAAGGTCTTAAGACTCTTTTTGAATTGCGGTCCTTACACACAGAGATAAGCACTGCAGGCTGAAGACATAGCCAGGCAGGTTTAACCCAAGGTAAAACATCTTCAGCTATGTCAGTTTCCATCATTGGCTAGTACTAGTAGTCAAAAGTCATGCTTGTAAAACAAAGAAGAACTGACGCAGCTTTTCAGAGGTTTTGTTTCAGGATCACCTGATAAACTGTCCTAACTACTGTACGCTTCAGATCACCATATGGTTGCAGTGATTAAGTGGCTGTCGCATCAGGTTGCTGAATATTAAAGGTGCATTCAGTAAGTTTTTGTTTACATTTTACTGGATTTTATACTGGCACCTAGGTTAACACTGATTTTGCTCCTTTTTGTCAATACTTATTATTTATGTCACGCACACATCTATAAAGTCCACATTCTTGGACTCCATCCCATCAAATTTTGTGTGCTGTTGGGGGTTCGTGCTGGTGCGCAGTATGTTGCGAGCTCGCTCCTTGTATAATGCAATGCAGCTGTCTTAGACAGAGACATTTGGTGGTGTGCTGGCCATGGCCACCACTTGTCCTGCCATTTGTCCTTGCTCTGTGGAGCTGCGGGGTCATCACTTCAGCATGGACCGCTTAAGTGAACATTTTATTTTTCCACTCGTATTGATTCTTCTTGGACTGTCTGGTGGATCATGCACATGCTTATTACCATGAACTTAAATGTTTATAGTTTAGAAACACAAAAATGATTATTATTAATACAGTACTATTATTGTTATTATTAGCAACCAGGTTCAATAGAGTTCAACAGTTGTGTTCCTGAAGTAAAAAAAGCACAATTCATTTTCTCCATTGGGGAACTGATTTAATGATAACTTATAAACTTTGGAAGATAGACTGTGAGCTACAAGGTTGTTGATTGTTTTTGTTGAAGCCATAGCCCACATCACATATAACTACATTATCCATGAATCTGCAAAATATAAAACACAATGAGAGAATCACAACAAGCAGGACATGACTGAGTCTTCTCCCCACACTCTCAAACAACATCTTTAAATCAGTGGTTTTATATTTATCTATTGTTTTTGATTTAAATAACTTGCAATGCTTCATGGGATTGTACTTCCTTCCCTCATTAAAGCCATTAAGTACACAGTTTTGTACTTTTGTCTTTTTATCTGACTTTTGCTTCAAATTACAGTTTTTGTGATTCACCTTGTAGCTGGCTGGTCAGGTTTAAGGCTTTTAATGAAGACTTTTTTTTTATTTTTATGGGACAAATACTTCCTTAAAGGCACAATATGTAATTTTCGCCGCTAGAGGGTGTGTATTCAAAATAAACAAAGAGACAAAGTTTGATGATGCCGTGACTGAGTGTGGAATCATGGGAGTTGTCGTCTTCATCCCCACAGCCGAAGCAATCTGATGGGACTCGGGCAGAAATCATGTTCATGGATGAGCTAATGATTTATTAACGTAGTAGAATGAAGCATGGTGAGGCTGAAAGCCGTCGAAGCGAAAACTGAACGAGCGCGGCACACGACTCGAAAGCAGCTGAGCTTTTATTATGCCACAGTGTCACTAGTTAAAATTGCTTATTTCTCTGGATTTAAACATTCTTCGAAACATTTGGGATAATGTAAGTACACAAGTCAGCAAAATATATAACACTGTTCTAGTGGTTTTTGGATATTTTAATAAACAAATCTTACATTTTGTGCCTTTAACTAAGGCTGCAAAAAAAAGTGGGCAGGCTCTTTTTTATGCATGACGGAATCATGGGAGTTGTCGTCTTCATCCCCACAGCCGAAGCAATCTGATGGGACTCGGGCAGAAATCATGTTCATGGATGAGCTAATGATTTATTAACGTAGTAGAATGAAGCATGGTGAGGCTGAAAGCCGTCGAAGCGAAAACTGAACGAGCGCGGCACACGACTCGAAAGCAGCGGAGCTTTTATTATGCCACAGTGTCACTACTTAAAATTGCTTATTTCTCTGGATTTAAACATTCTTCGAAACATTTGGGATAATGTAAGTACACAAGTCAGCAAAATATATAACACTGTTCTAGTGGTTTTTGGATATTTTAATAAACAAATCTTACATTTTGTGCCTTTAACTAAGGCTGCAAAAAAAAGTGGGCAGGCTCTTTTTTATGCATGACACTGTTGGTCATGTGATCTCAACATGGTGGCCTCCATTAGTAGACCACCCGATTCATGTAGAATAAAGCAGCTTTTCTCATATTAGTGATGACAAATTCACCTTATTTTTTGGCTCGGCCATTTGTACATTTTATGGGTCTGGCTTCCTGTGTCATCTATTTCCTGCTAATTTTACCTGTACAAAACGGCTTACATTCGAGTTGAATAATAAGGTGGATAGCATTTTAATCATAGGCCAATGTGTCAGACATTCGTTTCTTTATCTCCAACACATTTGAAGTAAAAGAAAAAAAACTGAGAGCACCTTACGTCATCTACACTCTTTTATAGCAGCAAAAATCTATTTTCCTGTCAAAAATAATAATACATAATCACTCTGAACTCAAACAAGGTTGGCACAAACCACATTGTTATAAATATAGCCTAACTATGTTTCGGTGACAATAAATAGCCTACACAAACTACTTTGAAATATGTGGGGGAAAAAAGATAATATGACATCTTTGAAGGAGTCACAAGGTTTAGCCTAATCAGCAGCATGTCAGTGTTGGGCCACAATAAAGAACATTAAATGCGGCACAACATCTTTTCAGACGCCGAAACAATTGTGAACATAAAGTTCAATTTTGGGAACGATTTGTTATTAAACACGTTGTGAAGACGCAGTTGCCAAGGTAGGATGCTATTAATATCAGCGCGGGAATTAAATCAATACGTCAAACTGACTGCGATTCTACGCCAGTTTTCCGCATGATGGCGACTCTGAGGTTTATAACGTGCTTCTCTAGCGTCTTTTCTCTCTTGTGTGAAGCAGAGAGCGGAACAGTCGAAACTTACATGTCTCTCGAGGAGAAACGCTGATAAATAACAACATTTTCCCTGGAAAACTAAACGGATATCAAACGTTGAAAGACACTGAACTTAACTACCGCTAGCGTGATACTGGCAAACAAGTTCTCAGCATAAAGTAGCCTACTAAAATAATTCTGTCATTCCCTCTCCTTCATGTTGTTATATATTCTGATAGACAAATGCCAGGCATAATGTTAGGGACTCGCAGCATCAGTCACCATTCACTTTCATTGTATCTTGTTTCATACAATGAAAGTGGACGGTGACTGAAGCTGTCTTTCTTTTTGAGTTCAAGTCATAGCCTACAGGTTTGAAACAACATGAGGGTGAGTGCATAAAGACAGCATTTTGACTGTTTGGATGAACTAGACCTTTAATGACAAAGAACATAAACATAGGCAGCTAATATTTGTAATTAATTTAACCACAAGCAAGTGTGCATGTAACATCTACGATGGCTTTAAACACAGTGTCATCTCGCAGAAACGATGCTCATTTCCAAGGATAAAAGACATGACAGATAAACCCTATTAAACAAACAAACGAAATACCAGGTGCAAAAATCCCCGAGCACTGAGCAAAGCAGCGGATGCAGCCTGGCGGTAAAATTGTTGGTCGTCTCGAGCGCATGCTCATCATCTTTACGCATAAAACAAACCCCCAGTCGCTGCTGGCTGGAAACAGAACAACATTATCTTCAGTTGCCTTACCCCAAAAGTAACTCTATTCTAACGCTCTGTATTAGCATTACAGAAGTATGAAGCAAAGTTGTCATTCCGTTTGTTTCGTACCTGTTTTTCTAAGCACTCCTTGGCTGACAGTGAAGGTTTGGGAGAGGGCGACCTGTCACACACGCATCCCTCCAACAGGTATAATCCCGAGGGTCGCGAGCTGGACTCGCTCTCAAAATAAAAAAGCATATTTTGCAACAGAGCAAACCACTTGGTGTGCCATTTTGTGTTGTCGGAGCTCTTTTTGCTTAAGCAGCCTCGCCTCGTGCCATCTTTCTTTGCCAAAAGACCCAGGTAGGTGACATGACCATCATTAAGTCGAATTCCCTTCTGCATTTTTGTGAAGAAGGTGCTGGTTTGGGGGGGAGGGGGAGGCTTGGTCCTTACATCTTCTTAGCGCGAGATCCCCGAGTAGACAGGCACTTTCTGGATTAGAAACGAAGCCTGGCACGTTCTGCCCAGCCACTGCAATCACCGCTTGGGCATGAAGTAGGGAAGAAGCGCAGAGAAAAACGAAGAATGCCAAAGTCTACCATCGTAATGTTGTCGAATGCGTGCAAGCTTTGGGAAAAGATGCAGAAATGCCACCCGTTACCTCTTCTGTGACGCAGTGAGCGGGGAGAATTAGGCTACAGTGTATGCGAGTGATGGTTTGTCGCGTTCTCACGTGAAATTCTCTATAAACCAGTGAGCGCGCTCACTGCTGAATGAGGCAGTGGCGTCACGTGATCAGGCTTCAGAACCTCGGACTGAGAGACAAATGTACTTTTACAGTCACTTGAGTTCATTTTAGATCTGTTGCATAGATGATGACAGATTGCTTCGTGCGAGGAAAACCCTCTTGAACCTGTATTGCATTTAATGTTACCAGATATAGATTGCTACGTGCTATGTTTGCACTAAACGTAACGCATAATCGGCATCTGAAGTGGCACATATAACCACAAACGGTGCGTTTCAGTGCTGCATAGAGGCGGCATAATATAGCCCATTAAAATGGCAGAAATCTTAATAGCAGAAATAATGCTACACAAAGTAATGTTAGGAGAGGCTGTGCTAAATTGTGAGAATAGTCACTGTTATGGTCTTTATTAGGCACTGCAGAAATGCTTAAATAAATCCACAATCAAGTAGACTCTAAAAAATGCTGGGTTAAATACAACCCAGTGCTGGGTAAAATAGAGACAAGCCCAGCAATTGGGTTGTTTTGACCCAGCGGTTGGGTTACTACCCAGACGGTTGGGTTAAACATTTAACCCAACCGCTGGGTCAAAACAACCCAATTGCTGGGTTTGTCCCTATTTTACCCAGCACTGGGTTGTATTTAACCCAGCATTTTTTAGAGTGTAGCTACATCTTATCAAATATATAGGCTATATATAAACAATAAAAATAACAATAAATATACACAATACAAATATTTAGGACCAGATTTTGCATTAAAACATCTATTCAACAAATAACGATTTATTGCTAACAGGTGTTTCACGTCATAACTATTACTACCGCTGTATCAGAAGCAAGCACCAGAACTCTCCTATAATTGTTGAAACTATAAATATAGACACAGGGAATGAATTAAAATATAAAACTATAAATAAAACATTTAATTATAAATAATTATCTACGTACGTTTAAATGGACAGTTCACCCTGCTATGGAAGTCAATGGCTACCGTCAACTGTTTGGTTACCAACATTTCAAAATGCCGTCTTTTGTGCTCAACAGAAGAAAGAATCTCATACTGGTTTAGAACAACTTGAGTGTGAATAAATGATGACAGAATTTTCCATTTTGGGTGAACTATCCTTTTAAGGCTGCACTGATGCTGCATTTTATTTACAGAGAACCAACACAGCATCAGAGCTGCCTTTGATGCTATGGGCTGAGGTGGGTCAGAGCTGGTTATGTTAATATATGCAGATGTGTTTAACATAACTATATTGAAAAATGCCTCATGATTATCAAAATGCTCCTCTAATCAAGCATCTTTTTCGGAAGGAAGGCTTACGTTTCAACAAAATCAATTGAAACTGCTTTCAAAAGCATTATTGCCATTGGCATTATCATTTAAGCTCACTAAACATACTTATTACACAATGTATTATTGTTTCTTAAGGTAGCTCTAAATTATTTCATGGCTTGTCCGACCAATGCATTTATCTGTAATCAATTGTGTGAATGATCATTAGTGGTCAATTTGAGGTAAATCATGCAGGGCTTTGCTCAGTTAATCAAAGAAGCATTAGCTAGAGTGGTACACCTCCTGCCTCCCTGCAGAAAAGCTTGTTTTGCATCTCTCAGGGTCGTTGCACTTTCAGTGCTCCCTACGAAGATTTCTAAGAAAAACATTTGTCTTTGAAAATTCTTGTAAAATACTAATTTTGTATTAAACAGTTCACGGAAGGGCTTAAACCAGCACTTAGTGTTCACACTCAAACCTCACAATAGATGACGGCTATTTCTGCTCAAAGGCAGCAGCTCCTTAAACATCTCTATCATTTCCTCTTCTTTATTTCCTGTGATTGTTGACACCATGCCTATGATTCACCATAAGCAGAATTTTTTTTTTTACCAAGGACATGCTCGTAATGCCTCCATTCAGCCCTTTCCTGTAGAGCAGTGGCTCTCAAACCTCTCCATGAAGTACCCCCAGCACTGCACATTTTGTCTGTCTCCCTATATCTGACACACCCACTTCAGGTCTTGCAGTCTCCACTAATGAGCTGATGAGTTGAATCAGGTGTGATAGATGAGGGAGACATACAAAATGTGCAGGGCTTGGGGTACTCCAAGACAGGTTTGAGAACCACTGCAGTAGAGATATGACTTCTGACTTCCTTATATATCAGGGAACGTCGGTCCTGGAGAGCCGCAGCCCTGCAGAGTTTTGCTTCAATCCTAATCAAACACACCTGAACAAGCTAATCAAGGTCTGAACAGTTACTAGGAAGCTACAGGCAGGTGAGTTTTAATTAGGGTTGGAGCTGAACTCTGCAGGGCTGCGGCTCTCCAGGACCGGAGTTCGCCACCCCTGTTATATATTAAAGGTGATGTCAGCGATTTCAGCGAATACGACACATAATATGGCTCTGCCTGATAGATCACTGAAACCTTTTGTACACTTTCAGGTTTGGTGTTTTGGAAAGAGGGTGTGTCTAAAGTCTAAATGCATCTTATTGATGTTATTGTAAATTTATCCATGCATTTTTTTAATTTAATTACATTTTTATTATTTTTTATTATGAGCCTGTAATTTTTTATCAAAATGTTTATAACTCTATCTTCCAGTGAAATTAGACTTTTTCTGCTTATACATGCCGGACTTGTCCAGTCATTTCATTTGCTTAAACCTGATCCTTTCTTAAAACTTGCCTCCATGATGTTTTTGGGTTTTGCTCTACAAAAACATGTCATCCCTGCAGCACTCTATATGGACAAAAAGATGTCTCTACTTGTCTTAAATTGTGACTTTAATAGTTCCGCCAAAAACGATGTATGCAGTTCTCGGTCAGTCGTCTTTTTTTTTGCTCCTTATTTGTCACCATTGCATGAAAAGAACTGCATAAAGATTCTTCAGCTTCATCCGTTGTGTTCTACTCAAAGTACAAAGTCATAGATTTGGAAATATAGGCAGTAATATATCTAAACTTGTGGTTCTCCATCTGCATGGTTTATCTTGTGTAGAATGATTTATTCTCCATTCTAAAAAAGATCTGAAATATTAGGTTAAGATTATCATGCAGATTCATCCAGAGTTAATGAGGTAATTTAATTACAATCATAAAGTTTCTAATTGTAATTAACTGGAATTTTCTCACTGTTTGTCTGCTGAGAACTGGGTTGGGTGTTGGATGAAGAAGGTAAAGGTCAATGCACACTTGATCGAATTCAGGAGAGTACTATAGGCATCCGACGCTTTGACGGACCCTGGTCCAAGTCATCCTTACCATCCACCCCCACCAATAGCTCACTGGTTTAAACAGCTTTCCTTTTTCATTGGCAATCAATTGGGGAACCATTTATCTGGGCTCATCAGGACCTGTGACGTGCCATCGTCTGATGCTCCTCTTTGTCTCCGCGCTAATGTGGCTGAACAATAAAACATGTTGTAGCACACAGGCAATATGCTCCTTTAAGCACCCAATTTGTTTAAAAGTCACAGGCTTTAATCTGACACTGTCAGTCTGCTGGCTACTTCACTGATGAGATTAATTTATGACTTTATCCTTTTTGTTATCTGCTCTCCCTCAGAACTACACTCATAAATCCTTACAGTCCACCGTAACAGCTATTTGAATACATAAAGACTTGTCCCTTGATAAGACATTTCATGCAGAATTAACATTAACATGGATTACCTGGTTACATTAACAAAACAAATGAAAATAAAAGCAGAAATTAAGGCATCAATAAAGATTAAGACAAGACCTCTAACACTATTGCTTTATTCTATCTGTTTCTTTCTTTTTATTTATTATATTATTTTAAATACCCTTGCTACGTGTACAGTGTATAAAGTACCTGAAAGCCATACTCAAGCAAAAGTACAGATATCTTACCAGAAAATGACTTTGGTAGAAGTTGAAGTCACCCTTTAGAATATTATTTGAGTAAAAGTCTTAAAGTATGTGATATTTATTGTACTTAAGTACGAAAAGTATTTTTAAAATCTTAAACATACTTAAGTATTGAAAGTAAAAGTACAAGTAAATCCAAAATGAAAAAGAAGCAAATAAAAAAATATATAAAAATGCTTGAGTAGCAAGATTGTGTTCATTTTAAACTCTTTTTTCCATTTTGTATTTTTGGGTAAGAATAAGAAGCATGGGACATGGATGCATTTAACCTGCAGTTACAGATGCATAAATAGGCCTAATGTTTTGTTTTTAACATAAAACGTTGAATACTGATATTTGAAATCATTTAAAACATGAAAAAAATAGTCGAAATGTGAAATTAAAACCACCAATAAGTGACAGCAAGTGACTGTTAATTTGAGTCATTGAGATTCAAATTGATTCATTCAAACGACTGATTCATTCAGAAACAAAGCATTTGACTGTGCTAATGAGTGAATCACTTAATCATATTCAACCGATTCGTTCAAAAAGCTGATTCATTCAATAAGTAAACACCGTCCATTGCTCAGAGACGCAAAACAGTGCTGTGGTCTTTGTTTGGAACTATTTTCATTGTCAAAATTGAGGAAAAACAGCAATATTATGTCTAAAATGTAAGTCACTTATTGCTTTACTGAACTTGTATAAAATGATTATTAAATGTGTTCATGCTGATATTAAATGTGTTCATGCTGATATGTGCAGAAAAACTGTACTCTTTGTGTGATATAGATTAATTTAACTATATTAAATTATATAAATATAAAAATATAAAAGAAGCATTTTGCCGTCTACAATTTAGAATGCCTGGGATTTTGAGTTTTAATAGACTCATAAATCAACGTGTCAACGTGCTGTGTGTGATTTGGTGATTACCTACCTAGTAACCTAGAAGTTACTTCATAATGTCAGATCGCACATCATTACAACAACACTTTGCAGAAGACATACTGTATATCGCACACCCCAGACTCCACTTGAGTGGGAAATGAATAACTGGGTTGGGTGTTGGATGAAGAAGGTAAAGGTCAATGCACACTTGATCGAATT